GATATAAAACAACTAAAGGAGGCAGTTGTGGCATACGGGCCTCATGCCCCTTTTACTCTGGCTATTTTTGAATCATTTGCAGCCTTGAATTGCACCCCCAGTGATTGGCAGCAATTATGTCCAGCTACGCTGTCAGGGGGAGATTATTTGATCTGGAGGGGTGAATACCAAGAACTTTGTAATCAAACAGTGCAGTGCAACACAGCTGCTGGTTTCCCTGGAAGGAACTTAGAAATGCTTACTGGCACGGGAGCCTATGCAGGTCTAGGCCAGCAGACTCTCTATGACCCTGCTGTATATGCTCAAATATCAGTGGCTGCTGGCCGAGCATGGAAAGCCTTACCTAATAAGGCTACAGGAGACCAACTTTCTAAGGTCCATCAGGGACCATCTGAACCCTATTCTGAGTTTGTGGGTCGGCTCCTGCAACTTGCAGGGCACATGTTTGGGGATGCCGATAATGCCATGCCTATAGTAAAACAATTAGCTTTTGAAGGTGCCAATAAGTACTGCAAGGAGGCTTTAAGGCCTCATAAGACCAGAAGCATCAATGATTATATTCGAATTTGTAGAGATATAGATGGACACCACATTATGGGACAAGTTATCGCTTCTGCCATGCAGGGTAATAAGAGGAGGCTGGGTAGGGGAGCCATATTTAAGACATGTTTTGACTGTGGGCAAGGGGGTCACTTTAAGAAAAATTGTCCTGTTAAAGACTCTTTTGCACCTCCTCGCCCAGGGTCAGGTCTTTGTCCCCGATGTAAAAAGGGACATCATTGGGGCAATAAGTGTAGACCAAAGACTGATGTACAGGGTAATCCTCTGCCACTTCCGGGAAACGGGAGTCAGGGTCCACTCCGGGCCCCTTATTCTCAGGTGTACAGAACCCTAGATACACCTGTTTCCCACCCTATTCAGGTCATACCCCGGAGGAACCCCTTTGTATCTAGGACCTTGTCAGAGGTACCCCAGGAAGCACAGGACTGGACCTCTGCTCCTCCTCCAGAGCAGTATTGACCCCTCAGATGGGACCCCAAGCTTTGGGC